TTAAAATATAATAAATCATTAGTTATTTAATGGTTTTATTCTTTTCATATTATACAAGAAGTATTTCAATTTTTTTTAACTTTTTGAAATACAAGTTTTAAAACTTTTTTTGTATTATTAGAAGTTTTAAATAAGTTTTATAACAATATAAAGACCTTTAAGCTTCGTTATTATAGTATGTCACCTTTAAGCAAACTCTTTTAAAACTGGGATTATTTTGAATTATTTTGCAAGCAGTTATTTAATGTTTTAAAGAATCAAACAATAAGTAAAAAATTTTTTTGATCTGCAATAACCAATCATAGGTAAGTCTGTCTATGAACTTTAATCCTAAGCCATAAATGAGAGTCCTAACATCAATTATATTTCTTTGCTCTCTTAGTAATCCTATAAATTTCTATACTATTTATTTTATTTCTATCACTATTGCTAACTACTAGATTTTCACACCACACTTTTTTACTATACTAGATTTCTGAAATAAATTATCCTACCCATATTTATAGAATTTTTGATTATTTATATCTCTCCTATCCACACAGACAATATAAAATAATATTTCTTGCAAGAAAACTTCTTTGAGATTAAGTAATTTCAAAACTACAGCATAAATTCAGGAGATTAACAACTGAGTTAAAAAAATCAATATTTCCAATTCACACTTACCGATATACTTCATTTTCATACAATTCCATTTTGCCTCATATATAAAAAATTTATTGTTTAATTTTTTTTGCGTTATCACAGGAACGATACTATGCAAAGTTTCAAGAATTCAGTATATGAAGATGCTTATGATTTCATTGCTGGAAGATATACTGTGCCAGACTTTTGCTGTGCCGTTGTATATGATGAAAATCATGTGAGAAATTTCATTGCATCTATTGTATACATGATAATAATTAAGGATTTTCTCAAAGATCAAAATTAGGGTTTTAATTGAATCAAATAAGATCGATGATTGATTGTTTCAATCAATTTGTCGATCGCAAAATATTGCTATCGATCAAAATTGGACTAACTTTAATTGATTTTTAATCAATTAAATTTCTATGAATGATCGATTAACAATTATTATGTTTGATCGATTATGTCATTATAATATAATATGACGTATAAATAAACAATAAACAAAACTAAATAATATTATTATTAAAAAAAAAAGAAAAAAATTCCTTTTAAAGTTCAATGACATTTATAAAAGAAGGAAAAATTTTTTATTCTTAAGACATAGCAACTGGTCTTTTAATATTAAAACTTTTCAAATAAAATAGTCATAGTTGTAGAATTATTCATTTTTTTCGTCATAAAATGCATTTCAAAGTATCAGAATTTTTATTTATAATATTTAAATTTTTAAATATCAGATGATCATTGTAATGCGTTTAATTTTAATGTGAAAAATTCAAATTTTTTTTTAATATCCTTTTAAATGCCAAACCAGAATAGAATAGAAAACATAAACGCTAAACTAATATTATTTCGACTCAATTAATTAAAAGAAATAATATTGTTAATTTATCTTCAGATATTAATCAGCAAGAACCTCAGTGGGTTGAACTTGGGAATAATAAAACAAGTTAGGTGTAGAAGCATTTTGGAATCAAAACTGACAGACGTGCTTATTGCAGATATAAAATATTAAAAATAAAATAGAAGAAGAGTGTAATTATAGTTGTATATATAATACTCAAACCAGCACTCAACAACATCATTTAAATTCTATTCATAAAGAGTTTGAAAGAGAAAAATTGGTAAGATAACATTATCATTACGCATTTTTATTACAGATAGATATATATTAAATTAATATATTATTTTTACTTTTTAGAAATAATTAAAAGTAGATGATCAAATAAAAAAGTTATGCTACATAAAGAACCTAAGTAACATAAATTAAAAAATGCTTTGGCTGATTGGCTAGTAACAGATTTTCAACCTTTTAATTCAGCAAATGGAGAAGGATTTTTACGTATGATTAATAAGCTTGATCCTGAGTTTAAGCTATCATGTTATGTAATGATAAAAAAAGATATTATTTATAGATATCAAGCTGTATTTCAAGTTATAAAGGAAATGATTACTCATACCTGTGATATAGCAGCTATAACTACAGATCTTTGGACATCTTACGCAAAATCAGGTTATATCAGAATTATATGTTATTAGTTTACAGAAAATATGGAATTATATGATATATTAATTTGTGTTGCACTAATTAATTATCCTCATAATGGTAATAATATCCACCAAACTATTTTAATTAAACTTCAACTGCTTGAATTAGATAGTAAAGTAAATGTAGCAATTACTAACAATGGTAGTAACATGATTAAAGCTATCCATGAATGGGATAGTGTTAATCATATTCCATGCAGTGCATATACATTGCAGCTTTGTATTATTAAAGGGTTAGAAAAATTAAACTATATACCAAACAATTTAAGGAATTAATTCAATTTTTTAATTCTCTAAAATAAAAATAAATGGTTAAAAGAGGCTCAGAAAGAAATTGCATCTAAATATGATACACAACTAGAAAATGATTCAATTTTATTTGATTTAACATCAATTGATCAATATCCATTAAAAATTTTGCAAACTATCAATGATATCAAGATCTGATAAAAATCATCTTTAGCTTCTCGAAAAAGATTACAAGTATTAAAAAATCCTATTAAATGGGTTCTTTTAAATTTATGTTTAGAAAATGAATTTAAAAAAGATTATGAAAAATTAAGAACGCGAATTCTTTTAGATTATGAATGGATTTTATTAAAAAAATTAATTATTCTTTTTAAACTAATTGAAGAAGCAACAGAATGGTTAGGTAGTCAAAAATATTGTACACTTTTTTTAATATATCTATCTATTTATATATTATATTATGATTATATACTAGATATAGAAGATAATATTATTAACGAAAGTGATAAGTATAATATTTAAATAATTAAAAATAATTAAATTATATTTATTAATATTTAAATTCTTTTTTTTAGATAATAATAATATTACTATAGATGAGGATTCTGAAGATAATGAAAGTGTACTTGATGATAAAGAAAGTGATGATAATAATGATAAGGAATAAATTTTTTCAAATAATACATAAATGTCTTTATCAGAAATTAATAATATTATTAATTCTATCAAAAAAGCAATATATGATACGCTATTTGAATATTTTAATTCACTACTTGAAATTGCTGTACTTGCTAGCCTTTTAGATTCAAAATTTAAAAAAATGTATGAATGGCCTGAAGAAATATGTGAAATGACAATATCTTTATTAAAAAGAGAATATCATTTATTAAAAAATGAAGAAACTGTTATATCTCAAATAAATTCAAGAAATAATTATCTAACGAGCGAGTTTAAATCACGTTTATTTAAATCATATGAAATAGATGAAAAAGATGATGAAATTAATTGCTATTTAGATAATTTTAGAACTCCACAAGTTATATCTGAAATGGATCTATTTCAATGGTATATTGATAATAAAAAGAAATTTCCAATTTTATTTAAAATAGCTAGAAAATATTTGAGTATACCAAATCACATCTGTTTTAAGTGAGCGGCTTTTTAGTGATGCTAGAAATCAAATTACCAAAAATCAGACCATTTATAACCAGAGACTGTTAATGAATTAATATTTGTAAAATGAAATAGTAAATATTATAATCCTTTTGTATAATTGTATATTGGTAAATTAAAGAGATTTTAGTAGTTATTATAATATTTATAATTGATAAAAATTAGCTTATTGTAATTTTTTGATGCTTATATTAATATTAATAAATTAATTAATGATTGAGCAATTAAAATTTGATTTTTAGTTTATTCTTTGATTGAACAATGCAATCAATTAAGAAATCAATTACATGTGATCAATCAAATAAATTGATTTTTAATTAATCAAGTAAGTAAGAGATCGACTAAATTATCAATTATGATTTTTTTTATCAATTAAATGCCCTAATTAAAATACTGAACAAGAAGAGCAATATGACTGAAATTTTCATAGACATCTGTAGAGTTAAAAAAAATTGATTAATATTATGATGTTATGTTTCAAAAATCTAGTTGAGTAATAAATCAACATATCTTATTATTTGTGGATTATACTCATTTGATTGATTGATGATATTGTTGATATTAATAATGATAGATTTAAAATTTTATTAGATTTTTCATTTGATTTTTTGCTTATATTTGCACAAGGCGGATAAAATAGTTTATTAATTGTCTCAACTTCTTTTTATATGACTTATAATAGGTTTAAAGTTTAATTTTTAGAATAAATCTTTGAAAGAAATTACGTTATTATGATTCATCACAAAAATCAGTTTAACAGATGCTCTCTAAAATTATAATAGACACAGGGATCATGACTCTGAATCAACAAGAAGGACTTTTTATTATTAAGCTTGAGTATATGCAGAAAGTTTTAAGAATAAATTATATAGTGCAATAACTTGTTACTGCTTTTCTAATGATACTACGCATTTATAGGATCTGAATTCTTAGATGAAAAACTAAGAAATATTAGCATATAAATATAATCTCACACTAGATATTGATATGTAAATATATTGCATTTAATGTGCCTTAATTTTATTGATTGTAATTAATAAAATACATATTTGTTCATACTGCAGAATAATATCTTTTGCTATTGATTTGCTATCATGTGGTTATGATCACAAACTTGAGTTATTACTTGAAGTATTGCAGGTAATACAATATTCTTTCAATATACATTGGAAGGAATATAACTTTGCTAATTTAGGATTATAAGGGAGCTGATTTCTATTTTTGCAGTACCATGAGCCATGTAATTTATAATTCCCATGTTTTTCATCACAAATAGAGCATGACAAGTTTCATAGCTGAGCAGATGTAAAATTATAATTATCAATCCCTCTGAAACTATTTTAGAATTTTAAGTATGTGAAATACTCTAAAACAGATTCAATAATTAATTCTGAATAGGGTTTGGCTTCGTAAATGATAGGCTTGAAATCAGAGGTTTGAGATTTGACTGACTTTATCCTAGTTTTTGATAATTGCTATGGCTCATGTCTGTTTTTTTTATATTTTTTTATATAAGTTAGACTGAATCTTATCTGTTAAAATACTTGGTAAACCAGTTAATCTAGCATGCTAATTCAGATATTTAGGAATTAATACTTTATCAGACTTAGTCATGTTGACTTTTTTCTATAATTGTGAATCAATTTAAATTAGGTAATAAACTAATAGTTAACATAATTGACTCTAAAAAAATATCACACAATGAAACGTAAACAAATAGAATATATTATAAAATAATAAGACTATGCAGTTATCTCAATTTTATGCTGTTCACATTTAATAAAATAAAATCTGACTTTATATTTACCTTCTAAACTTTTCTCATCATCATACTCTAACTTGCATAATAAGCATATTTTCTCATTGGTAATTTCAAAATAATCAAAATCTTCACTATTAAATTTTCTATATAAATTAAGATATTGATCTAATGTCTTATTGTGAAAATAGAATCAGTCATAAGTTGGATTAGATTGAAGTAAAGATAATACATTTGCTGATATACTTACCTTAGCCTTAATCTGATCATTTCCCGAAGGAATAGTTTTCAAAATCACATGACTCTAATGATCACTAGTAATCATTTTTACTTAATCTATAATATTTTGGATTTATGCATTAGTTAGTTTCGAAATCTCAGTTGCTCAATATGAGACCAGCCTGATTTTATCTATTTTAACTCCATTTTTTTCAAATAATATGAGGAGTTTTCTAGTCCTAAGAGTTTTCTTGTATAAGTTATCTTATGTAATTTTAGTAAGAAAAAATAGTTTCATTTCCTTGTAAATCATTGATCTTGCTATTTTATCTTTAATTTTACCATCAGCAGTAAGAGTATTTACCTTATTCTCAAATTCAAGGGAATAATTATACCAGTCTAAGATTTCCTACTAATCAGATTTTATTGCTATATTAAATAGATAAAACAAGTATTAAGCATAATCCAAAATCATATTCTCTGATCTATTATAAAAGGAATTAGTATTAGTAGAGCTGACATTGTTTTCAGTGGATATGGATGAACAGATGCCAAAGGTATCACATAGCTCTTGTATTAGATCTTGTTCTATGATTTGATTTTTATCTAACGATTTCTTCAGAATCAGCTCATCATTTTGCTCTATGAATACTTCAAGATCTGGTTTAACTGAAGTCATATGACTCTGATCGTTCTCTAAGAGAACAGTTTTTTCAAACTCTTCTGAAATTTCTGATCATTTTTTTCAGAGTTGCATGATGGGCTGACAACTGTTAAGTCTCAAACAATCAATTCATGTTGAAGTTTCTCCTCTTACTTTCTCTGCCTTATCTCATTACTAACCTTTTTCTTATTCACATTATCTAAAAAAGTATCAATTCTACTTTTCTCTAATGTTTTAGAGCTGACAAGTATCTCTGATACCACATCATTTATTTTGCAGACAGGTTTATATTGCTTAAGCTGAGCTATATTTGAGTCAGATACATTAGCAAGTGATATCTCTAATATTAGTTCTTTAGGTAAAGAAATATCCATTTTCTTATCTACTAATAGCTTCTCATAATGCGCTACTATAGGTAACTACTCTGTAACTGAATTGAATTTAGATGAATTATTATTAATAAAATTATCATTTTGCAATTATCTCTATTCTATTTTTGTGATTCTATCTCTAAATTCAGTATCCTCAGACTCAAGTTTAGCAGTAGCTGTCTTATTTTTCTTTAGCTCCACTATTATAGCATTGAGTTTACCAATCTTGACTAAATAATTTGATATAGTTTTCTTCAGCTCATCAGTTTTGGCCTTAAGCTCCTGTTTCAGCTTCATTTTCTCAACTTCATCCTTAATAACCTTCTTTCTAAGTTCACCAATCTCAGCTAAGAGCTTGGTATTTAATTTCCTTAATGAATCATTAGATTGAATTTTTGATATGATTAATAAATTTTATACAAAAATGATAATATTCAAAATAAAAAAAACATATGATTTTAGGCGAATTGAGTTTGCCAAAATTTACCAAGAAAATTTTTATTAATACATGTGAAAAATAAATACAAAGGTCTAGACTAAGCCTATGATACATTATTTTTTTGATATTTTTTTTTGATTCTAGCCCTCTTGCTAGCTAGGGAACTATCTACACTAACACGATTTTTTAACAACCTCACAATGATACCAATCACCCTTTTCATATTATTTTGAAATAAATCAGGATTTTCTTTGATGGCAAATTTTGTGAGATTAATTTGGTATTTGTTTTCACTTGTAAAGTATATACTATCAGGAATATATATAATAAAATGTCACTCAGTACATGTGATTATAATATTATAGATATAGTCAAAATAGTCATTTCTAAATGCTTGATCTGCAGTTTGTTTCTTTTTATTCGTCTGAAATACTTTATATTTTGCTGTTGAAAAAAAATAGTTAAGGAGATACAAGGCATAATTAGTATTGTTATCTGATATTAAGCTTCATGAAAGCGTATGCAAATGGAATCTTTATACCTTTTTATATGGAGAGAATCCCAAAGGGATCAGATCTACTAAAAAGACATATAGTTAGTTTCACACTTAATGATCTTAAAATTCTGAAGTCCTTAGTATTTTATAATATATATTTTGTCAGCACTATTTGCTTATATGGTAGACCTCGTATTACAACTAGTCACTCTTTTATATTTTCTCACATTTGTTTAGGGAAAAAATAATGAACAAAAGTTAATATGTTTTCTTTTTCAAATATATTATCACTGGATTCATTTTCATTTATCTTAATGTCTAAGTTAAGTAACTGTGGCAATTGATTCTACACATTGAAGTTTCTGACCTTAGGATTTTCTCTAAATCCTATAGGTATCTGTTATACTTAAATTAACTTAGCAATTTATTACGTCTTAGAATTTAAAATATATTTAATTGAACTCATAATAATGAACTCAATGGCAAGTTAGTATATGGTATCATAATAATTCTAGATGAGGAACAATGTTAAAGAGAAAAGTAGTT